GATCGAATTGTCTGATAAGAGCTCCTCTCTTAATAGTACGACCATCCATCCTAAATGCGATCACACTCTCTATAGTGTCTTGATCACCGAAACAAAAAAAGGCTCTATGGATATCACCTTTGCCATGAGCCCTTTTTGTTTTTCTCTTTCTTCTTTTCCAAGTCTCGGAGCTTGATCGCCGTCATCACATGTCCACCAACATCACCATGGACTTCATCTTGCTCCACCACTTGGATTGGACCATCCTATCTAGTCACACACTTAGATGCAAGGATTAGTCCAAACAGGTTTCATCAATTAGCCAAAACCAAACTAGGGCTTTCAATCTCCCCTTTTTGGTAATTAATGACAACCTCTACAAAGATATGAAATAAATTCAAATTTGAATTTATGTTGCTTGCCCAAGCATTTTTACCATGTGTAAAAGATTTGGACAAGTTTCATGAACCCCCAATGGTAGCATTTGCTCCCACTACATATGTGTTAAGACTTTGGATTTGAAAGCTTGCACATATGCATAGATTTGAGTTGTGGGAGAGTAATGTCTACCAAATGATGCTAAGGTATAAGAGATGGACCTTTGAAGTGTGATACCAATCCGAGTGCACCAGATATACCATCCTTAGCACCATTAGTAACTAGACATACATAAAAACTAGAATACCCGGTGAGATCAACATTAGAAGCAAGGGTCTAGTTTTCTCAATATAAACACAAATCTAGTTACTCAACCTATGCATGCTAGTTTTTCATTTCATCAATCAAACCTACAACTAGCATACACCACACAAGCATAGATATTTGAAATTTAAAACTTGTGCCATGTAAGCAAACATATGAAATGCACATCCAAATGCACCATTGAAGTTTATGAGCTTGCTCCCCCAACTTGTGTGCTCAAATTTTTAAAGTTTTAAATTTTAATTGATCCCTTTCCTTTGTCATATTTCTCCCCCTTAGTGATTACTTCTCCCCCTTACCGATTACTTCTCCCCCTATCACTTATATCTTTGTTTTTCTCCCCTTTGTCATGAATGACCACAAATGTTCAATTTTAGATAGGTTAAGATAATCAATGTCAATCAATGGGGTGAGGATCATTTTCCCAAATTTGGTTCAAATTAGAATACTTGCCAAAAATATTTAACTCGGTTTGATCTAAGGACAAGCTTCTTCACACCTCATTTCAAGGGTTACTTGTACCATATTGAGTTAAATACTTGTAGCTCATTTTCTAGATCAAACACGAGGTTTACAAGCCCACAAACATGTCATATGCTACCACTACATCAAGTCAAGCATAGAAGCAATAGTGGTACCATACAAGCATCAAATTCATTTGATTTTCATAAATGAGCCTATAAGACATGAGGAATGACTAGATGCACTAAACATGTCCTTAGCAAAGAATGTATGCCATGCTAATCAACGTTTACCTTGGTTGCTCGAATGAGAGGCATGTCATATAAGTGGGGGTGCATCAACACATATTTGAGAAATCTAATATGTTTAACTCATTCCTTAGCTTGTAAAACCTCTTCTCATCCAATGGCTTGGTGAATATATCGGCAAGTTGATCTTCGATGCCACCCCAACTCCTCCTTCTCGGCCTTGTCCAGCCGGGCACCGCCACAGGGGTGGCGGTGCACCAGACAGGGGGTGGCGGTGCCCATAGGGTAGCACCCCGAGCCTGGTTTCACCTCCTTTCTTCACCTTTCGACTTCTCCTTTGCAAATGTGCTAACACCACCAAGTGATCACCAACTTGTGCACGTGTGTTAGCTTTTCACAAACATTTTACCAAAGAATTAGTCACTCAATTCACCACGCCACTCGATCCTAGCAACGATGCAAAGTTGGATCACTCGAGTGGCACTAGATGACCGATATGTAAACAAGTTTGCCCCTCTTGATAGTACGGCTATCTATCTTAAACCCGGTCATGCACTTCTCTACACAACCTTTGACCGGTGAAATGAAATGCCCTAGTTTATACCTTTGCTTTGCGCATTCCATTCCATCTCCTCCAATGTTGATGCAACATATGCACCAACATGATCGACAATGATATGATCCACTCCATATCATCGCATGACCATATTGGTTCATTGATCTTGTCTTCACTTGCTCTTCACTGTTGCTTCGGTCCATCGGCGCCAAGTCATCACTCAACTTGCCCTTCACACTTGCAATCGGTCCGTCGAGCCAAGTCATGTTTTGATCTTCTTCACCTTAGTCACATGACTCAATGTCATGTCTCATATGCAATGAGCTCCTTCATCACATGTGTGAGCTTTGCAACATCTCTAAGCCATTTTCACCACCATAGCATATGTTGCTCACACACATGTACATGTGGACTAATCACATGTGTATCTCACATTAAACACAATTAGTCCACCTAGCTTGTCACTCAATTACCAAAACCAAACAAGGACCTTTCACCACGTCGTGGCATGATGTGGCGTGATGCTACTATGTCGGACGTGGCGAGATTGTAGGCAGGATGGTGGTTCGCCAGTCGTCCTGTGCGACGTGGTCTCTACCGTGGCCTTCGTCAACATCTCCTGGTTTCCTAGGGCACCATACAGGAGTTGGTGGCCGCCCATAGGTCATGGATCGCCTTGTTGTCTTGAGGAGTGGGGGGCCACGACCCCTGTCACTGGGATCATGGTTCCCGCTAGCTCGGACAGCCTCTAAGTCATGGCCCTCGTCACGGATCCCGTCCCGTAATGGGTAGGATCGTACTCTTGTCTCGTCAGGCCGTATCTGGCCAGTGGTCATCATACCTGTCGTCATGGCTTTAGAGCGGTATTGTCTTGTCTATGCGGTGTGGCATAGGGATAGCGTCTGACTGGACCAAAGTGACTGCTGTCCCCTTGGCCCTTGCGGGGTCAGTGCGGCGTACTTGTTCTTGTCAGAACAGGCACGCTTGGCCGGGCTCGACCTCTTCCCGTTCCTCCCGGGGGTCGTGTCAGGGGAGAGGTCGTGCATCTTTCCAGCGCCATGTGGCCAAGGCAAGAGGGAGGGGTCGTGGCTGACCTTGGCCTTATCGTCTGGCCTGGTTTGCTTGGCTTAGCTGGGCCTCGGTCGTTTGGGCTTTCGCTAGCTGATGTGTTGTGGGTTGCGTGACCTTCTGATTAATCGGTGCCTTGAGACACCCCGGGGTTATAACCCCGACACATTATCAACTAGATCCATGAACTCTCAAAGTGATCATCTGGGTACTTTAATATTTCAAGTGGTACATTGTAAGTTCACTTTAGATCACTATGACCTAGAGTGAATTTTGAACGAACCACTTGAAAAGTTGGACACGGATGTTCACTTCGTTTATGGACCCAAATAGAAATAAGAGAAAAGTCTAGGAACCCACAGTGAAACTATAAAGAAGGGGAAATTTTCTATTTGCTTATCTTTTTCACATAGATTGGTACTATGTCCAGGGGAGAAAGAGTCTTTCCCCTAAAATTGGGCTTTGACCTTTTAGAGTCAATGTGAATTGTACCTTGCCATCATAGAATTGAGAATTTTTTTCAAAAGGTAAAATATAACATTATGAAAATGGTTCTAAAGCCAAGTTCATACTCCCTTGTCTGCACCGATAGCTTTGGTATAATTTGTGTTGACAAGTATGACCTCATTCATTAATCAGCGCACAAAGTTAGTAAAATAATACATCTCCGTGGACTGTCACAGGCACATTGTAATTTCATCACGAGGGAGCCAACAGAAGTGCTAACTGCTAATGATGCAATTTCTTATATTATTGACATCTCTTCTTTCTTGCTTTTTCAGTCTTAAGGATAGGAATTACGGGGAGGGCCAAGGAGTTGAGAAGCCCCTACTTATCAAAGATACTAGAAAGATGATGCATTATATTTGATTGTGTGGAGATAACCGGAACAGGCATATGACACAAACTTTTCTGAGAACTTAATTATAGTGCAATGCACATATGTCATTTATAGATGTACTCGATTTGGGACGCCTTGTCAATGTACATAGACAGAAATGCGCATATTTTGGGATGGAGGGTGTTGAGGTCAATTGGTCTAGTGGACTTTGAAGTTGTAGGGGATCAAACTAAAGCAGCAAAAGTAATTGCACGTCAATATGAGTAGAATAGTGATTTCCAGATGATCACATTAGTCAGTGATACTTTATTATATTTGGATTTCTACCCGAGTGAAAAACATTCGGTTGTTTAGTTTCACACCTAGATTAAATGTGTTGCAAGAATCGGGTGAAATATTCCTTCTTCACACCTAAATTTTTAGTTAAACCATTTGTCAAAAAATTAGTTAAACCAATTCTACCTAGTAATTACACCAAAATAATCTTAGTAACTCTAATACAAGCTATACATCTAGAAAAACTGAAATGATTTACAATTTGGATCGGAGAAAGTATTTATGAAGAATAAATTAAAGGTGAAAAAGGGGAAAAAAACATAGGTGTGATGAGAAAGAAGATTTTCACCGGGTATGGTATATGAATTCCGTTAGACCTGAACCTCGAAATTGTATATTATTTGGATATATATCTCTGCTGTTCAAATGTTACCTTCCCACGTAGCAAGGATGTGTTTGTCAGGTAGCACATGCATAGTACTTGCCCATCAGCTCACGAAAGACTATAGTCTTGGGCATGTTCGCTGGTGCTGGTTTGGGCTGACTGATGCTGGTTTTTGGTGAGAGAAAAATATTGTTGACTGGCTGGTTTAGGCTGGCTAAAACCAACGAGCGAATAGGGCTGAAGAAGAAAAGATTCCAATGTGGGTAGCACGCAGAAGTAACACACATCTGAATTCAAGTACTAGTTGCTGCTAGCTGGCTATATTTTGCCACTAATTAACATCTTGATTTATGTACATGTGATTAAGCACGCGCACTTAGAAATCAGCAATTCAGCACAGCAATGACACACTATGATGAGTAGCTAGCTTAGCTAGAATTAATCTGCCGATGGCATAACATCGATCACTGACCGCTTCGCTGCTTACATCAGTCCATACAGGCTAAACCACTCGACCACGCTGTTGTCGGCGTAGGCATAGTCAGGAACGTAGTACAGGTCGTCGTCCCCCAGGTGATCGCCGCCGCCGACGTCGACGCCCGGCTGCTGGCAGGTGCCTGTCGAGAACGATGAGCTCGGGCTCCCGCTGCAGACGGCACGGCCCATGACGTCTGCACCATCACCGGAGACCGCGTGGCTCCCCGTGGATCTGAAACGCGTCAGCTCCTCCTCGGCGAGCACCAGCCTCTCTTTCAGCCTCATCACCTGCCAGCCATGCATGCATGTACCCACGAAATGCTCAGTATATACTGCAACACCGTCAATCCATGGACATGAACAGACGAGCATACAAGCTCAGACAATTAAAACTTAAAAGAGGTGGGAGGAGGACATGCATGTGTGGTGGGGGCAGGTACCTCGTTCTCAAGGTGGCATTTGTGGAGGATGGCGGCGTCGTGTGCCTGCTTGAGCTTGGCGAACTCCTCCTCGAGCAGCTTGCTCTTGTGGCGGGCGCGGCGGTTCTGGAACCAGACGGCGACCTGCTTGGGGTCGAGCCCGAGCTCGGCGGCCAGGTGCACCTTCCGGCCGGTCTCCAGCTTCCGCTCCTCCCGGAAGCTCAGCTCCAGCATCTCCACCTGCTCGTCGCTCAGCCGCCGCTTCTTGGGGTCCCCTCCCCCGTCCAGCTCGCCGTCGCCGCCGCCGCCGCCGCACCTCGCTGCTCGACGCCTCCTGCGCCGCGCTCTCGGCCTCTCCCCCTGCGCCGTGCCTGCACACCGCACAGAATACATCAACTGCCATGCATGCAGCAGGTGCATGTACCTGCAGGTAGCAGGTAGGCTGGTACTGGTGATGATGAGCTGCAGTTGCATTTGCAGAGACGAACTAGCTACAGCCTACAGCTGAGAGAAAGAGAATGTACGAGTACGCACCGTTGGGCACCAGGAGGGACGAGGAGGAGTCCACGTAGGCGGCAGGAAAGAGCCCGTCATATTGCTCCATCCTTTGCCTGCGCTCCCGGCCGGATCAGCTGCTGGCTGCTGCTACACCTTTCTCTCTCCTTGTCAAGCGTGAGGTTATGTGGAGAGGGCCAAGGACAGAGAAAGAGAGGGAGAGAAGGCTGGGGAGAGGAGACGGGACGGTGTGGGTGTGGTGTGCTGGCTGGGCGAGGAGGAGCTGCAGGGGAAGTGGATCAAGGACAAGGAGCGAGGACCACAGGGCAAGGCACCAGCTGCAGCTGGGGTGTTAAGTAAGCAGGGGTGCATGTCTCGAGAGAGACCTAGGAGTAATATATATATAGGGGTAGCAAAGGCGCGCAACGCCGGTGGCGGTGGGGTTCGCCGGCCGGCCGGCCGGGTAGGGGTGCTTTCGTTCTGGGCCAGACCGGGTATGGATGTAAACCACCTGCTCCAACTCTATTTTTCTTTAGGGGAAAAGTTACATATATGGCTGCTGCTGATGAACAGGAATACAGGATGGGGAGTACCACTGTGTCATGCGCTTACTCGTGTACCAAAGGGTACCGTGTGCCAACTGCAGGACTACTACATCTGTCCTAAAATAAAGGAGTGCAATTCTGTATTTGAACCAAGTAAAAAAAAAGTTAAGTTTAACTAAATTTATTAGAAAAAAGTGTCAACATTTATGTCTCTAAATAGATTTATATGAAAATATATTCTATGATTAATCAATAATACTTAAGGTTTGTATTGCAGGAAAAATTCTTATTCCTACGTTTTTCTGTGAAATTGAACTAAGATTCATGTGAAATTCCTGCGCTCTAAACAGTCTCTTACTACCTCTGTCTAAAAGAGAATGTAATTCTAGGTGCATTCTTGAAAACGTGCCTAAAATTTGACTAAATATAATATTTACGACACCAAATAATATTATGAAAATATATCTCATAAAAAATCAAATGATATTTATTATATATCATAAATATTGATTTTTTATATATAATTAGTTAATTTAAGATGCTTTGACTTGGTGGTATTGTGTTACAATTGTTTTATTTTCTAGACGGAGAGAGTATTTGTTACTATAAATGTCAATATTTTATATATTAAATTTAGTCAAATATTAAATAGTTTGACTAATAAAAAACAAGAATTACAATTTATCAGGTTCATAATCCCAAGATCTCTAATGGGCCCGCTTCCCAGCAAAAGCTCAGCCCAGCAGACGGCATTACAAACAACGCGCAACTCCTGGGCCGGCCCAGATACCTAACGACAGGCCGGAAGAGCGATCTAGTCTTCGACTGGAAGGCCTGGCCAAGGAGGGGATGACGCTCGCTTCTGACTTCGACCCGCTTCTCCGACCGGAAGGCCTGGCCAACGAGGGGACGACGCTCGCTTCCGACTCCAACCCGCCTCTCCGACCGGGAATACACCGAACCTCTACTTACGTCTCTTCTCCGACTAGCGCTGTCGAAGCCAACTAGGAACGACCGGCCAGACACACCCGCTCGGTGAGGACCCAAGAAATCAGACGGAACAGATAAGGTAAGGCGCTCAAGTCAACCATAATACCGAGGACCGTACCCTACACACCTGCAGGACCGTACTATCAGGACCTGCCAGAAGGGCACTTTGTAGCCTTCCAGACATGTCAGAACACAAATAGTGTTGTAGGCACCGACATTTGTCCTACAGTATGGTAGACGCCGAAATTTGCCATACCAGAAGAACACGATGAAGCCTTCCACATGCATCTAGGCGTCAATAGTATTGTGGGAGTCGACAAAATTGTCTTGTACCTGACGGCGTGGGCAACAAGACTAGGGCACTCTCTCTCTCTCTCTCTTGAACTTGTAAGGCCGTCCCCTTCATCTATAAAAGGGGATGCGCCCTCTCCCAACAACGACGATCATTCTGACTCTCTTTCTACTAGCTTTAGACATTCTGAGCACTCGAACAGCTTCACGGCTCTAGAGCTCTAAAGTTACATAGAGCATACGTTCCAATATTTAGCGTACGTAGGAGCTCCCGTCACTCTCGGCCCTTCAGTCCAGAGTCCGACCGGACCTCTAACACCCTCTATTTTATTCCCACTCGTTTGTAACCCCATAGCAAACTTCGAGCACCTGGACTCAGGAATAAAGTCACCGACCGACTCAAACTAGACGTAGGGCACGTTGTTCGAACCAGTATAAACCCTGTGTCATTGAGTACTAGGCCATATCCGATCACAACGTATGACAAAACTACAAATATTCACTTGTTGGTCACTCTTCACACCGACAGTTGGCGCCGTCCGTGGAAAGGACGCCGTACGTTCACGTTTTTGGTCATCGGATGGCCCACCTTTCCGCCATCTTCGGCATGGCAGGCTCAAGCGATACGACTCACTTCGGCTCGCTAGAGTTTCCCATGCTCCCACCTGTTGGGATGTGGGTTCCTCCCATCATCGAGCCGTCCCAGACCTTCCTCTTCGGAAGCCTAGACTTCGTCACCGACCAGCTCAGCGTGTTTCGCCTTCACGAGGAGGTGCTTGTCCTGGCGCCCATCGAAGGAGGAGCACCCTCCGTTGGCTCTAGGCCACCCGACAACCTCAACGGCGAGATGCCTGCGCTTCGCTTTGAGACCACGCTGGGCCCAAACCCCACTGTGAGTAACGCACATATTGTTCTTTACTCGCTATTTAATATCTTCTGCCGACTCTCTGGAGGGACCCCGTTGTCCCCACCGCGACCGCCATGTGATCGGTTCCCCTACGGCCTCGCATCCCCCATGGACGAGTACGCACGGGGGCTCTGAAAGATGCGAACGCCGCCCCCTCTCATATCAGAATTCATGGGGATGGCGGGCTACGCTCCCGCCTCTTTCCACGACCTCAAGGATGACAAGGTTGAAAGCGATGGCTCAAGCATCAGCGATGTTGTGGCACCTAGCCACCCTCTATCCCGGGAGTGCGCTATGGCGGACGCTCTAGAACAGCCGCCGGTGGTAGCGGAGTCTCTACAGACTCACACCCCTCTGAACCCTCGTGTGGAGACCCTCGCGTGCGTAGGAGCACGGCAAGGAGTTACCACAAAGGCGACAGAGCCAGCCGCCACCAGTGTCAACGCGCTCGGTGCAGCACGCTGCACCACGCGTGCGCAACCCAGCGAGCGGCGCCTGGGGTCATGCCCGCTAGGTCCAGCGCAACATCATGGACAGGGGGAACGATCCCCCACAATTCGCTCAGGCTGGCCAGAACATCGCCACTACGGCAATGCTTCTGTGTGGCCTTCTAGAGCCTGTCGACCCCCAGGAGCAGGCAATCCACCGGAACCTCTGGGCGCTGGTGGAAACCGTCGCCGTTCAACAGGCAGAGAGCTCCGTGTCGCGACACTGACTCGCGGACTCTCTCCCCACTAGGGAAATGGGGGCGCACCAGTTGATTCGCTCCATCCGCTCACCACTGCAGTCGCCGCCCGTGGAACAGGAGGCCGTAGCTACACCACGGCCTGACCCGACGCCCGCTCCACACCAACCACCTGTGCGCGAACGCCTCAGGCCGAACTGAGCTCGTAGCGTCATCAACAATCGGCGTCAAGCCCGGTGTGATGATGATGTCCATTAAGGGGCGGTGAGAGCAGGCGGCACGGGCCTCTACTGGACCATCGAGGGGAGCGAGGAAACGCACCCCAGGCATGGTCACCAACCGAACAACCGGAGTCCTAGCCCGGACGGCCAGGGATCCAGAAAGTGTTGTTCCCACAGCGCTTCCGACCGCCTACCAACATCGCCAAATACACCGAGGAAACGAATCCCGATATATGGCTCGAAGACTTCTGGCTCGCTTGCCGAGCCGGAGGAGTGGATGATGACCACTTCATCATTTAATACCTCCCCATCTGCGTGGGGGAGCATGTTCAAGCATGGCTCGAATTCTTCTCACATGACAGCATCCGTGACTAGGCGGATCTCAAGAGGATCTTCATCGGGAATTTCTAGGGGACGTATGTCTGCCCTGGGAATTCCTAGGACCTTAAGAGCTACCGAGCAGGAGCCCAACGTGTCCCTGCAGGATTACATCCGTAGGTTCTCAAAACGATGCAACTCCCTTGCTGATGTCATTGACATAGACGTCATCAGCGCTTTCCACTCCGGGACAACCTATGAGTCCTTGATCCACAAGCTCGGCTATCTGAAGCCCCGTACCACCCGCGACCTGCTCGACGTCACCATGAACCATGCCTCCGGTGAGGAGGCGGTCGGAGCGGTCTTTAGTGGAGGCTGGGACAAGGGCAAGGTCAAGCGCGAGGACCAAGACGAGGGCCCAACATGCAAAGGGGCAAAAAGAAAAAAGAAGTATCGGCACCGATCGGCCAACTCCGCTTTGGTCACCGCGACCGGTCGTGCGGGCAAGCAGCCCCAGTAGGGCCAATCTGACCACTTCAACAAACTCATGGATAGCCCATGCACCAACCACGCCTACCCCGTCAAGCACCTCTACATGGAATGCGAACTCCTCAAGCGCTTTCCGCGATACGCCGGCGGACCAAAAGAAGGAAAGGGCAAGGAGGCAACGACCAAGAAAGGAGGCGTGGCGGGCAAGGATGGGGGCAGCTTTCGATCCTGAGGAATGCCTCATGATCTTTAGGGGATCTGATGCCATCTACTCCAAGTGCTAGCACAAAATGCGCTACAGAGAGGCATGCGTTGCTGAAACGGCCATCCCCTCCTTCGTTAGCTGATCAGAATCTCCGATCACTTTTGATAAGAGGAACCATCCTTCCCACGTCGCCAGACCAGGTCGCTACCTGCTCATCATCGACCCCATTGTTCGCAAGAAGCGCCTCACCAAGGTGCTGATGGATGGAGGCAGCGGCCTCAATATCCTCTACGTCGACACCCTTGACGCCATGCGCATCCCTCGGTCAGAGCTTCGCCCAGTGAGCTCTCCCTTCCACGGCGTGATCTCGGGAATGCAGGCATACCCGCTCGGGTAGATCGACCTGCCCGTCACATTTGGCGACCGAGCCAACTTTCGCTCGGAGGTCCTCACCTTCG